AAATGGCACAATATCTCTGAGAAGTATTTTGAACCTGATATTTGTAAAATAAATAAATAAATAAATAAATAAATAAATAAATAAATAAATAAATAAATAAATAAATAAGAAATGGGAGAAAATTTTAAAATGACCTAATTTCTGATCAACTTAACTACAAGCAACAAACATCCAAAAAGCTGACCAGTTCTACGCTTTCAGAAAAAAAAAAATAAATAAAAATCAAGGGCTCTTGGAAGCCCCCTGCTGACCTGGAGGCCACGAGCAGAGGCTCAGCTCACATATATCACTGAGTTCTTCTCCAGCCAGCTCACAGTCTCATATTGGATGCATTATTTTGATGAGAATTTCATATTACTAATAATATTTTAAAAATCTAAATGAATTTCATATAGCTCTTCAGCCACAGCAGCTCACATTTCCTCCCCACCAGACAGATATCTCACCAAGTTTCCTCATGTCTGCTGTCAGTGAAATTTTATTTCAAATTTTGTATGTTTGCAGCTTATTCTATCCAGTGAAAGCCAAAATTATTCATACCCCTGGCATATTCAGGTAAAATAAAACATTTTTTTAATTTAATCAACAGGTTCCTTCTGTCTGATGGTACTTATCGTTTAGTAAAGAGATTAAGATTAGGGTGATGGAAAGGAGGCCATCCCAACCTCACAGACAGCTGACCTTCAAAACAACCAAACAAAAAAGAAAAATCAAAGCACCAAAAGAGTTTAAAAATAAATGGCTGCTCAGTAATAATGAGAACGGCTTGATAAAGTTTTTTTCTGTTATTGGCAAAGCTGTAAACAATTTTCAACATTCTGTTTGTCAATAAAATTACAGCTTTTAAAAAATATATACTATTTTACATCATTGTGTCATGTTGCCTATCAGAGACAAACTTCTTGACTGAATTAAAATCATCTTGAAATAGATTCTGCCAGGGGTATGAATAATTCTGGACTGAACCGTTTATAAACATGGCACCATTTCATCACGTTGATCAATAAGTGGCTGTAAAATGAGGCAAACATAAAAGACCAACTTTGACCCATTCTGTTTCATCTGAAGATAATTTTCATTACTTATTTTCCAGATGCGTTACCTCAGATACAGTAAGTTCACAGCACTTTGAATTAACGCACATTTCTTTTCAGATTTTTTTTTTTAAGAATAAACTGGAAAAGTGTCGTTAACATGGATAAACTCCACTAACCACTTAAATAACTAAGAACATCTTTAAGCTACTTGTTCTGATATCTTGAAGATTTCAAATTCTCAATTGGAAATTTTAACCTAAAATTGCCATTTTCAGTATAAACTGCATCTTTACGTTTATTTTTGTTCCCCACCACCACCACTTCACCCCCCCTTAAAACCACACACCTTTGCAATCTTGCATTTTATTCAGTAAGAATTATTCAGATTCCGTGCACCATGTTTTTTTGTTTGTTTGTTTGTTTTGTTTTGGTTTTTTCCCCCCTGGCTGCAGTACAGCGATTAAAGATCTTCAACTCACCCTTTGGTCGTGTTGACGCCACTAGATGGCGCTTGCGCACCGACTTTCCTCCATTGCTTCAGACTTTCTTCTTTTTTTTTTTTTTGCTGTCTCTCTCTCTCTCTTCCCTCTCTGTGAGCCTGATGGGAAATTTCAAGTCACCTAAATAAAAAGGAAGGTGTAATTAACGCGTCGCGCTATTAATTGCATCTGCTAGAGAGCGGATGAAGGGCACCGGGGCGTGCTTCACCCCCTTTTTTACTACGCGGCCCCCTGAAAAGTCTGCTTGGGATATCAGAGACAAGGAGAGGAGCTGCTTCCTGGTGTCACACGTCCAAATGGCAGGTCAGGTCAAACGTAGATGATGATGATGATGATGATGATGGGGGATGATTAGGCAACTGATGTGGGAATGATATAATATAAACTGTGTCTATCCTCATGAAAACTGTTGCGGATTAAATACAATCAGGTCAATAAAATCACTTTTCAGCAGAGTTTGGATCGATTAAAGGGCCAACATTCAGTTGTTGTTTTTTTTGTTTGTTTTTTTTGACCCATCAAAGTACAGATTAATGATTACAAACAGGAAGTTTGTGTTTTCACTTGATGCCATTGATGACTGATCAGACAAAAACTCCCATTATTCATCCATATATAATGCTGAACATCTCTTTCCCAGCTCAATGGAACAATTTGATTTAAAATCAAAACAATGATAGTAACAACAACAATAATAATAATAATAATAATAATAATAATAATAATAATAATAATTGTGGCAGATTTTGGCACTTTGGAGCTAAAACAGTTTTTCACTCCTTCAGGAAACATTTCAGAGAAGTGGTACTAAAGGAAAACAGAGAGCTGGTGCTTTCAATATATCTGCTTAAGATATATCTGCTTTTGCCATTTTACAAGTGTCGATTTTATTGTCTCCCAGAGACGATCTGTTTGGCCCCGTTTTAAGTTTAGAATCTGGCAAATTACGGTCAAGCAAACAAATTAGAGAAATCACTTCTGTCATCATCTCAGACCAGCTGAAATGAGAAGCAGAAAATGCAAATAATAGTAACAATAATAAAAGCACTTACAATTTTAAGTGGTCAAAAACAGTCACTGTAGTGGACCCCTTTCAGTCCTTTCCAGGGGCCACTTTTTGCTCCTCGGGCCCCAGCTTGAAGACCTAACCGAATCCCCCTCCCCACGACTAAAGCTGTGGCCTCTCCGGGCCAAAGTCAGTCCGTTTGGAAGCAGAAACAACATCATCAGCTCACAATCATCCAGCCTCATTTTCTCACAGCCATTAATTCCTCTCAAACGACGGAGCTGCAGCCACAGCATGAACCTGCTGCAGCAGCATGAACATTTCCTGGCTTTATCACTGCGTTTGCTTTAAACGCCCTCCTCCTCCCCCCCCAGAAAACAAAACAAAAAACATGTAGGCTTGACATTGGAAAAAAAGCCTTTTTAATATCAACCTCATTATTTAAAAATGTGCAAGTCCCTTTGTTCATGTGGCGAGAGATGAAACACCAGCAGGCGTTTATCACCTCTGATAGCTCGACCCCAAGTTCATCCAGTGAATATGCCCCAAATAATAATAATAATAATAATAGTAATAATAATAATTAAAAAAACCAAACAAACAAACAAACAAGCAGTAAACAGAACAAATCCACAGCGTTGGATTGCTACAGGTCTACATCCCACAACTTCAGTCAAATCTGATCGTTTCATTAAAGCTACCGAGGAGAGATTCCAGTGATCATTTCTGCAGAAACAGGAGAGGGGGAAGAAAATGAAAATAAAGTAAAATAAAATAAAATAAAATAATAAAACGAAAGGTGGGAATAAAATCCCTGGATATGTATCTTTGCATAAAAAAAACAAACAAAAGCGAGCTACTGTTTGAAATTAAAACATATATTTATATATACATAACTCTGTCTGACTAGTCCAGGCTGCCTGCCTCCCCTCTGCGTCTCAGTTTAGCTTAAATAGATTCATCTCGTTTTTCTGCGTCACGTAAATAAAATAAGAATGACGTAATAAATTACAAGCTCAAACAAAAACAAAACAAAGATAGAAAAATAAAATCGACTTGCTGTAACCATACAGTCCCTCCACAATAAAGCAATAATAATAATAATAATAATAATAATAATAATAATAATAATAATAATAATAATAATAATAATAATAATAATAATAATAATTTTCTTAAAGGGTGCAAAATTTGGAAATATATTTTAAAATTATTTGAAAACAAAATGTGCAAAATCATTATTATTATTATTATTATTATTATTATTATTATTATTATTATTATTATTATTATTATTATTATATCTGTTAATATATTATGTTTATTAGTTATTATCGAACGCGTCGTTCTGGAATTTTTTTAATTATTTCTGACCGTTTCTAAATATTAATCTGTCTCGGTTCCGGTTTTGAAGCGCTGTTTTGTGTTTTAGAGGTTTTTGTGTTTTGAACTGTTTTTGTTTTCCACTCAGAGCGGACGGGAAGTGACTCAAACCAAAAATGAATTAGCTGACATTTAAATCAATAACACAAGAGCTGCAAATTAAATGCGCAAAAAAAAAAGAAAAAAAATCGCATTTGAGAGTTAAATTCGAGCGACAAAAAGAACAGCACGCAAATACAAGGCAGTAGGTAGGCTGGATTCTGAAACTCAATAATGAAAAAACAAAAACAACAACTAATTATAAGGGGAAGGGGGAACAAAAACAAAAGTGCCCCAGTGAAAATATATATATATATAATTTTTTTTAAAAAAGGGATAAATCCATAACTTTTTGTTTAAAGTTGTACGATATTTACAGATGTGAATCCGAATGTTTTTGCTGCCGTCTTGTTATTATTTATTCATTTTTATTTTGCTGAGATATCTAGAGCCCATCATGTCGTGGGAAAAGTGCCAGATAGTCCAATCAATCGCCGTGGAGCCTTTTCTTCATCTTCTTCTTCTCCTTCTTCTTTTTCTTCTTCTACGGGCAGAACAAACGCTCTGAGGGAGGAGATCATGTTATTGAACTGGTTGTGATGGCTGAGAAAAAACCCAGAGCGGTCTCTGTGTTTACGCCGCTAATTGCAGAGGTCGCAGCACGACTAATAATAATAATAATAATAATAATAATAATAATAACAATAACAGAAATAGATGAGTGACAGCTGACCTCTGTGCTGACAGATGGGACTCCACTGGACTGGGGCTGCAGCCTTTTTACTGGCCTCCACTTCACTCCATTAACGCAGCTTTCTGTGACCCTTATCTGCCCCCCAACCCCCTTACCCCCTACCCCCTCCTCACCCCCGGTGCCCCCTTCGCTGCAGGACGCGCAACTACAAACTAACCCGCTTCTGCACACAGCAACGATGTCGGAGTTGGTAGAAAAGTGAAAACTATTCTGCTAGGCTTTTCATCTAAAAATACCTCCCTCCCTCTCTGTTTTTTTTTAAATATTTTTATTTTGTTATTTTTTATTTTATTATTATTTTTTGAGTCAAATATAATTTTGAATACACAACAGGGGCTACACCTTGAAACCGCGTCGACTCACAGTGCTGGGCATGTGTCCTCGGAGAGCACAAACTGTCCCCCCTCCATCCCCCCCTCTCTCACCCTCCCTTCATCTCTCACACATTCACTGCAGATATCGTGGAGGTGCTCGCTGCAATCTATTATACATAAAACACTCACTAGATCGTCTCATAGTCCAGTGATTTATATATATCCTCGGGGATAAATAATAATATTAATTAATAATAATAATAATAATAAAAAAACAACAACCGATGAACAAGTCCTGGAGGAGCGGTCCGGTAGAGTTCATTGGACCGGGGTCTGGACCCCGTGGTGCGGCGGCGTGTCCCCGTACACATCCTCGCTGCCCGGCAGCGCTCCTCCGGGAGGGGTCATGCGCTTCTCCTTCTGTCTCCTGTTACAAAACCAAACTCTGACCACTTCTTTCTCCAGGTGAAGACTGTCCGCCAGGGTGATTATTTCCGACGCGGCCGGCTTAGGGCACTTCAAAAAATGGCTCTCCAAAGCTCCCTTTACGCTCACCTCGATCGAGGTCCGTTTTTTCCGTTTCCTGCCCTGCGCCGCGATCTTGTCCAGGCTGGTCGGGCTGCCCGAGGTGGAGTCCGCCTCCTCCAGCCACTTGTTCAACAGCGGCTTCAGTTTGCACATGTTTTTGAAGCTGAGCTGCAGGGCCTCAAACCTGCATATGGTCGTTTGGGAAAACACATTTCCGTACAGGGTCCCCAGGGCGAGTCCCACGTCCGCCTGCGTGAACCCCAGCTTGATCCTCCGCTGCTTGAACTGCTTGGCGAACTGCTCCAGGTCGTCCGACGTCGGCGTGTCCTCGTCCGAGTGGTCGTGGTGACTCTGCGGCCGGTGCTGGTGCTGGTGCTGGGACGCGGGGTGGCCGTGCTCGCTGAGGTGCGGGCTGTGGTGGTCCTCGTGGCTGTCCCGCAGGTTGTGGTGGTGCATCCCCTGGCCGCTCCCCGGGATCAGCCCGTTGACGCCGAAGCCCGGCTGGGAGTAAATAAGGCTCTGGCCGTTCGTCGTCGCCATGCTCGGTATGTGCGCCGCCGTGGTGGTCCTCCACGCCCGCGCGTCGTGGTGGTTCCCGTGCGCCTGGTGCACCAGGTGCGGCGGCCGCGACTGGTGCTGCAGGCTGCTGCTGGAATTGTGCATCTCCTCCCTGGCGCTCTGCACTGCGGGCTTGATGTCTTGCTCCGCGCCGATGGGGCTCGAGGACCACGGGGTCCCCTCTCCGTGGGACAACGCCGTGATCCACTGGTGCGCGTGGCTGAGCGTGTGGCTGTTGCTCTGCAGCGGGTAGTCGCTCTGCAACAAGCTCTGCGCGTCCCGGTACGCCGTGGCTTGCTGCATGCCGCCGGGCTCCGAGTGCACGATGGATGCGCTGGAGGTGAGGATGCTGTAGTGGTTAGACGCTGCGGTCGCCATGACTCCCGGAGCCGGACTGGTCGCTCTTATTAAAGGAACCTCGCATTTGACAGATCCGCTCCTGCCCATAGGCGGCTCCCAGGCGCTCTGCCAAGTGGACGCCGAGGCGCACCTGGACTCCGCGCCGCCCCCGTCGCTCATTGGGCGTCGAGGAATGATGGACACGGTTGCCAGGGGTAACGGCGCGCGGATTGGCTCGGCGGGAGTCTCAACAAACACAGCCTTGTTTTGCCGGAGAGGTGCGAGTTGTTTGAGGCTCCTGTGGAAGCGGAGAGCCGGAGTGCGGCGCGAGGAGACGGAGCTCCGGGATCAGCAGGTGCGGCTGTAAGATCCAGTTGATTTACTCTGGCAGTCAGGTTTTTATCCGGACTCAGACTGCAGGTAGTCGAGCTCCAGCTGCGGGGATTTCCTCTGATGTAGGCAACAGATTTATTTTGTTGGTTAAGGTGTTATTGTGCACAGCAGTTTAGGTTGTGAAAATGTGATTATTTTAGTCATGTTTATTGGAAATGAGACGAATTAATTGCACATTTGTGTAATCTTTATGCGTATATTGTAACAAATTCACTTTTTTTAGAGCAATTTTGATATTTAGCACTGCAGGCTGGGTGATTAGGAATTTTAGGACGTTTTATTTGTGCAATGCTGCTTATTTAGTGTGTAAAAATTCATAACACCATTTCTACTAACAAATCATCATTTCGACTTCTTTAAACTAATGGAATCAAACTACTAGGTTACTAACTATTTAGTTTAACTAGTGACTATTTATATAAATATTTTCACTATTAATTAGCGGGAAAACTCAAATAAATGCGTTTTTTGTTGTCGTTTCAGGATTAAAAACACTTTGAGAAAATGCTAACAACGTATGTTAGAGCTGCAACAAAAGTACAATTTCCCACTATTTTTAGTTCCATAAACATACACCCAACGCAGTAGCATGTAATTACATCTGCAGGTTTTAAGTTTAACAAGAACATGAGCTAAAGGTTAGAACAGTGCTTTGATAAATAAAGTAACAATCCTCGGTTTTCTGTTGTATTTAATACACTTAATAAACAAACTGCAGCGGTTTTTCTCTTGCATGTCCTCATGAGGGAACAAGCGTCAGGTCTGAAAGGAAACGGGAAATCATCCAGGAAAATAATATCTAGCATGTTTTATTTAACAAAAAAAAAGGGTTGTTTTAATTTATTAATAAATAAATATAGTTTCACTACAAAAGACGTCTATTCCTAATGCTGTTTATAAAACAGCATTTCCAGATTAAATAACGCCCACCTCATAATCATGTCACAGTTCATTTTAGGTTGAGTGAATCTCCAGACTGCTAAAGTTCTGATTTTGTTCACTGGATATTTCTCAGAGATGCTCAGCTGCTCTCTGTAAACAAACTGAGCTCAACCAATCAACTTAAAGCTTCAGTGGGCGGGGCTACAGGCGAGGCACGAGCTGGTATTGGACGCAGTAAAAATAAACCTACTTTACTGCATTTGCCCCCAATTTTAAAACTACATGTGTAACTTGATCTGGTTGCTTTTAACTCTAAAAGAAAAGCAACAATTATTCAGACTTCCACTAACATAGTATGATACTTTGATTATGAGACATAAAGTCAATCCTTGTCAATGTTATCTTGTAACCTTTATCAACTGCTTGTTATTTTCAACTGAAATATCAGTAGAGGCAAATTTGTCTTTATTGTAAGAGAGGGGACAGTGTGGCAGCCTTTTTTCAGGCAGCTGACTGGCAGTGTGCAGCTATAGGTGGGGGGGAGGGCCATGTTATTCTCATGTATGATCCAGAGAAAAGTGTCTGGCATTTCAGTAAACAGACTTGAAACGTAGCAGTTTGGAAATGATCACTTTTGAAAAGCTTGGCGTACACCTGACGCCAGAAGCCCAAGAAAGAAAAAGTAACTTTGAGCTGAGTTTTAGTGTTGCATATGATAAGAATATCTTGATTTTAAAAAATGAAATAAGACAGTAAATGAAGTCTTGAGGCGTCTGAAATCCGTTTGCAGCTCTTTAAGGATATATTGTGGGATTGTTACAAAGGCTGTGCAGAAAATGACTATCAGCAGGAAAAAAAGTCAGTGAATTTGTTTCCGTGTCTTCTAGAGAACCGCTGTAGATGCAATAGTGAGTCCAAAGGCTTGCTCATCGTCCAATGAAGCGAAAACAGACAGAGGTGAACAGAAGGATTAAGTCCAAGCTAAGGCCTCCAGTTCGGGGCACGGAGGGCAAGCCTCCATCCCGTCCCAGCTGTCGCTGCCCCCGGTGTCAGCTTCAGGGACCAGGACTTTGTCCAGAGAGGGGACATTCCTGGCCGACTGCTGCTGGTTGCCATAGGGAGAGGTAAATGAAACAACAGCAGTTGCATCACTGCCGATGCCTCTCCTCCCACCCCACCCCACCCCAAACCATGACTGTCTAAAGGCCTCTATTTAGAGAGGCTCTGTGCTGAGGGGACAAAGCCTTTGCAGGGATAAAGGAGGGAGGAGTGAAGAACGCAGGCCCCCAAAAGAAAGAGAGAAAGAAAGAAAGAAAGAAAGAAAGAAAGAAAGAAAGGAAGAAAGAAAGGACTAGAAGAGCTGAAAAAGATGAGATTATGTCTCTCCTCAGAGCTGCTCCTCACTCTGTCGAGGGATAAATCAAAACCGAACAGAAACGTAATATTTTGTGACCAGAAGCAGATTTCAACTTTACAACTTCTGAGTGTTGTCACCAATTTAGATTTAAAGGCGCAGATACGTCCTACAAGTACGGATGCAATTAAAAAGCACCGTAGGTTGGTCTGGCCTACAACAATTCACTTCCCACCAGATATAACGTTATTACCTAGTGGCAACAAATTAAACCAATAAATCAGCCCATACACTTCCCGATATCCCCAATTTATAACTTTCTTACTATGCAAATGACTGAAACTGTAATTAAACATTTTATTTAATAACGTGGACAGGCAGTAAAATTAAAAGGCAATAAAAAAGCAATCAAAGAAATACTTTCGCAAAGAAAAAAAAATCCAAAGTGTTCAGGGAACACACAAAAGCCTATATATTAAATATTCACACTCACAAATCATTTTCAGCCATGTTAATTTATTTAAAAAAAAAAAAGTTCACACAAGGACATGTCAAATGTACAGACAGGAACATGAGAACAATGCAGAGGCATGCAGGAAGATTCAGGTGCTAATTGCATCGGGTCGGTTCTCTCTGACCTGGACTGGATTGTTTTATGATCCATGTGCTGGTTGAAGGCGTTTCTAAAAATTTTTATGGTTACTTTGACTGGTTCTTTATTGGCAAGGGTGGACAATTTTAATCTGTATTTTACAAAATGAATGCTGCAAATTAAAACTATTTCGTTGGGAAAGTTTGATAAGTACAACCACATACGCCTAATGTATCAAATATGATACAAAACAGACAGAAATTAAAGGCAGTCATCCAACTTTTTGAAAGGCGCATCAAATACAGAGTTCAATTTAAAACTATTATTTTCTTAACATCATTCTTTTGAATCAGGCTTTAAAATTTAACTGTACTTATAGCTTTAAACTGCAATAATTTATTAGAGGCAGGTGCTGATCGCATCATGTTCAGTTCTTCCTGACCTGCACTGGATTATTTTATAATCCATATGCTGGTTGAAGGAGTTCCAAAACTTTTTTATGGTTGCTTTGACCACTTTTTTTTTTTTTTAGGTGGCCAGGGTGGACAATTTGAATGTCTATTTTGTTAAAATAATATAATACTGCAAATTAAAACTGTATTTGGTTGAGAAAGTTTGATAAATACAACCATTTATGCCTAATGTATCAATTATGATACCAAAAAGACAGAAATTAAAGGCAACTTTTTGTAAGAAGCATCAAATAAAAAGCTCAAATGAAAACTACTACTTTCTGAATATTATCTTTTGCCTAATGATTTGAAACTTTGACTATCATAGCTATAAAACACAACTTAGTTAATTGCAGCATGTTGTGTTTTAGTGACCTTTAATAATCTTAATTGGAGCTATAAGTAGGCCTGTCACAATTACAAATTTTGATACACGATAATTTGTCCCAGAAGTTATCGCGACAAACGATACTATTGTTGTTTTGAGACCACCTTCAAGTAATATAATGGTGATAGCATGACAATGCAGGAACACATTCTCAAAAATCAATAAACTTTAAATTTTAATGAACATTTAACACTGGAACTGGAAGACATTTTAAGTATCTGAAATAAATAAACAAAACAATAGAAACAATAAATAAGATGAATTATGTAGATTCTGTAAACAAAATTGTCCTTAAAAATGCTAGTTGAGACCAAAGTATCAAACTGAAGACCAACTTTGGTAGAAAGAAAGAGAAAATAGAGATTTTTTTTTAATTTATCATGCGATTAAATTGATTTATCGTTCATTGTGAGGCCTAGATATAGTTGTCTTAATCTCAATAGCACAGAACGCATAATTTTTCCCCGTTTTTGATTGGATCAAATGTGAAGCGGTAAAAGCTGCTTAGCTGTGTTGTTTTTTTTAGGGCAAACTAAAAATCTCCGTTTGGTTGGGAAAGTTTAATAAATACAACCACATATGCCTAATGTATCAATTATGATACAGAGAAATTAAAGGTGACCATTCAACTTTTAGTTAGGAGAATCAAATACAGATTTAAAATTAGAACTATATTGCTTTCTGAATACAATTTATTGTATCAGACTTTAAAAGGTTGACTATATTTATAGCTATAAACTGCAATAATTTACTACATTATTATTTTAAAGGCACGTGTTGACAAGACAATGACAAAAAATGCAAATATGCTGTAAATTCCTAGTACCTGTCTTAAATTAAATACACTTTTATAGCGAGCATAAACATCATTACGATGTTTACAGCAGTAATGCATGCACACTCTGTGATTTAAAGTGGATAATGAGGATCAAGAGAGTAACGCACACAAAATGGTCGTATTCCACGTAAAGCCGAGCTCTTTAATGAAAGATTTGTGATTGGGCCTTTAATGGATCTCATTTCATAGGCTAATAATCCTTTATAGATGTGGCTCCAGCTGCACTGACGGCTCATGCAGCCACCAGGATTTAAGTTATGCCGCGAAAAGTTTCCGGGCACGGCTCGGTCATTCATTCTGCTAATATTCCACATTATTGTGGCGTAACATTGAAATCGGCCAAATCAAAAGAACATTGTGGTAATTAGGCTGTAATTCGA